GCTGGTTGGAAAAGGTGGTCTCCATGGCAATGTAGGTACCCCTTTCACTTTGCTTTTTTTATTTTAAATATTGGATTAACATGAAACAAAATGTTACACTGAACGCATATATAATACCGATATTAAGCTGCCGTGGTTAACGTTCTTTCTGTTTACCAGTAAATAGAAAAAATATTGACCATGGAGGATGACAGATCTTAACCAGACTGTGTCATGTTGTCTGTTACTATATTTATAAAAATGTTATTCAAATATGCCACTTAAATTAGAAATATATCAACACTCAGTACAGAATATAAATGTCGCTACAGTATAAGCAAGTTGGAAGGATAAATAACTGATTTTGATTGTGGATAGAAATTAAAAACCATTATCATTTTATTAACCTGTAAAATAAAATTTAATGACATCATTATTTTAATGTTGAGTAATTAATAAATTAAAGTAACTGATTTATTGATCCATTAATTAAAAAAATTTAATAATAAAAAAGAATAAATAAAATATTTTGATAATATTAACTATTAATCAATTCATTATTTGATAATTATGTCGTACAGTATTTGGTTTTCATATTTTTTGTTACCTTCTTTTTTAAGGTATTACGCATTAAACCTCCTATGTGTATTACACGAGAGGACGTTGATTTTGCCATCGCAGTATTTCAGAGGGCGCTAGAACACCACCAAAATGCATATTCTTAAAGATGGCCTTGCATTATAATTCATTCTTTTTTATGGTCTATTTTTTTCCTGGTTTCTAACATATTTTATCTTTTTTTTAGATAATAATATTTATAATAGATTCCATCCAAAACAAACTTGTGTGGTCTAGTCTATTAACAGTATAACACAAGAGTTAGTTATTGTTAAACATACCGCGTCTTCAAATTTGTTGGACTAATTTTGTATTTCAAGAGTGAAATAAAACGTTACATTTTAAGCATACAAGATACATGATTCGAGCATATCGGTAACAGTTGGGGATATTTCCTCAACAGAGGTGCACGCACGTTGAGTCTGTATTAGACCTATAGTAGTAATATAAAACTTGGAAAAAGTAGATGTCAAATTTTTCAAAATCATAACTCAGTATTGATAGGGGGCGTCCCAAAATCCTAAATGTGCAAGTCGGTTGTATGCTTTAAGGCACTGTATCCACGTTGTCATCGTTTTAATGACTGGTGTAATAATACGAAGTACTAAGAGTGTAGAGTACTTAATATAAATGCTGACCTTATATCATATTAATCACTCAGCCCAGAAATGTGCTATACAACCCTGTTCAGCCCTACCAACGTCAGTGGCCTAGGCTATGCTGAGCTTATCTAAATTCTTCATATTTTTTTATAAGTATCTTACCCACTATTTTCAGTGTTTAGGCAAGATTTTTGAGACCACTCCAAAAACCTAATTGTACCATAGGGAATCTTGAGCAAGTTTCTTGGTTATTGTTTTATTACAGTAGCGAAGATTTTCTTGAGTTTGGTTTATTTTGTATATTGCATTAACAAAATTATGTAGATTTTACATTGAACTGAATAACTAGTGGCTTAGAAGGAGGAAAATACGATACTGTTTTTAGGTATATTTTAGAATATTTAAACTTACTGAAGTGACCTCAGAACTATGTCTTCCAAGTATAGAATCAAAAAAGTTATACTGTATTGTATTTTTTAAACATATTTAGTGTTAGCCAACATCAATTATGCCATATTATCAATCGTATGAAATAGATTATTATATAATATAAATATTATTATTATTGGTACAATAATACATTTATTGATTGGAATATTTAATTGTATTGGAATTTTTAATTGACTTGTTGAAGTGCACAGTCTCGTCAAAATGCAAAATAAATGGCCAATCAAATCTTTTTTCCAGTTTTGTGGGATGTTCCACTTTTATTATATTCAATTTTATAAATCTTAAATATTTTTTTCAAATGTTCTCTCCTGTATTCTATACAAATAGTTAGACACTAAATAGGCTTAGTGTCTAAATATACCATGTAAATTTAAACCTCTTGTTATCAGTTTTTCTATACATCCTTAATATTCTTGTTTATACAATTTGTGACCCAAGCTCACAGAAGGGCTATAAACTCTCACCACACTGTATTGCGAAACAAGCCTTCATAGCCACAATAGGGCGTAGAACGGTCATAACTTTGCTTCCAGACACCCGATTGAGTTCATTTAACTGTCATTTTAAAGTAAATAAATAATATGTTCTATGCCATTATAACAAAAACTCATTTTGGCCCGAGGACGAGTTTACAGCCCTTTTGTGAGCTTGGGTCATATTTTTATCTCCTTACAAACACGAAAAACTTGTTAGTATCTTATATTTATGCAAACAAAATATTCCTAAATTGCAATTTTGGTTTTTTATTTCCTTTTCACTTATAAGCAAAAAAATTATACATACTGAAGTAAATTAATTTCCCCAAAATGTTTCTGCAATTTTAAAACGAATGTTATTTTTTATCTGTTACATTCATAATTCATACTGTACTTGATTTTGCCTAATTTTTCAAGAAACCAGTTTTGCATTGGAAGATGGGATGGTTTGATAATCAAAATTGCCAATTTCATTTTTCCAGTAGATTCCCAGACCCTCTCTTAAGCTTTGTCCATCATACAGTACGTGGGCATTATGTTGTCATATTTCACCAAATATTTGCATATCACATTAAAAATTTATACTGTTGACAGATTTATGCATTATTCATATTAGGCTGTATGAATAGGGCGCCCTCTGATTGGAATTTAGAGAAAAAGTCCACCACAGGCATCTTGCTTTCAAACACTGCTTTTTTGTTCCTGGTGACCATTCAGAGCAATTTCTTTGCTTTCACTTGTCATTTCGATATCTTGTATTCGTTGTACTTGCTTATATCCGAATATCTGTTGCCTTTTCCAAAACAGGACTGATAATATAAATAATATTAAAACCACTAGTAAAGTTGCTCTAGTTGAAATAGCCACAGTATCTATGAGGTAGACAGACAAATAAAGGTAAGTACTAATGAGATTGTAATACAGACTGTTAAAGAGATTATAATCTAAGCATTTCCTAATTAATTATAAGCTAAATTATTATTATTATTATTATTATTATTATTATTATTATTATTATTATTATTATTAGTATTATTATTATTGGTTGTGCAGGGAATATATGATTTTTATGTGGCTGGTTCTTTTTTCGTTTGAATTTTATTTGATTGTGTTTATTTGTATAAATATTTTAAAATACAATTACTGTACATCAAAATCGAATAAGAGAGACATTGTAACAGAATAAAGTATATTGTAATTTTTCATTATGGTTGGGTAGGGGTGTAGGTGGGGATTTGATTTTAATTGAAAGCTAATATTTTGCTAAAAATATAAAAAGCAATCATTTTTGAATTGTTTTTTTTTTTCAAATTTATTCGTTTAGTATAGAGTACCACAGTCATGTCGTCAACGCCAGGTGGCGCCCTCCGTTGCCAACCAGACGTTGGTTACTGTTAATTTTATTATTATTATTATTATTATTATTATTATTATTATTATTATTATTATTGGTTGTGCAAGGAATATATGATTTTTATGTGCCTGGTTCTTTTTTCGTTTGAATTTTATTTGATTGTGTTTATTTGTGTAAATATTTTAAAATACAATTAAGGGACATCAAAATCGAATAAGAGAGACATTGTAACAGAATAAAGTATATTGTAATTTTTCATTATGGTTGGGTAGGGGTGTAGGTGGGGATTTGATTTTAATTGAAAGCTAATATTTTGCTAAAACTATAAAAAGCAATCATTTTTGAATTGTTTTTTTTTTCAAATTTATTCGTTTAGTATAGAGTACCACAGTCATGTCGTCAACGCCAGGTGGCGCCCTCCGTTGCCAACCAGACGTTGGTTACTGTTAATTAGTCTGAAGGACTTCATAGGCTTTCTGGAATAGGCATTTTAAAATCTAATATTTTACCATAAAAATGTACTAAAAACACAAAAGTTCACATTATATTAGTTATCAAACACAATTAATCATCAATTAAAATTTACAAAGAAAACCTAAGATACAAAATCTTAATATTTACGTTAGAAATTGGGATCAATGGTTGTCAGTGGAGAAAATGGCGTCCGGTTGAACGCATTTTGCAACCATAGCAACGGAGTAGTATCACGTGGTATCATAACGTAACACTGTAGTACTCTATAGTTACTGTACATATTTTTACAAAGGGTATCATGAATGGATGTATTGGGGGCATTCCACAGTATTTTTTTGTTGCGGACATTACACTTAAGAGAATTTAAAATTCTATATCTAGTAAACTACTGAAGGGAAACATTTTATTTTTTGGTCAATTATTGCTTACAGACTGAAGTTTAAGTCTGTATTAAAAAAAATGAAAAAAAATATTATAGTGTGACTGTAAAATCGAATTATGTCCGTGTTGCGGACATTACAGTATTGCGACATGACTTTTGACAACATAAATATAAATCAAAATTCCTGTGCTGTTTCTTGAAATATCGAATATTCCTTCATATATTACATATTTAGATAGTTCTTCTTGCCTACCAAAAAAAAAAAAAAATATGTAATATTTCGTTGTATATAAGCGATTATTTGCGTTTGCGGACATTACATTTATAAATGTCCCGGACATTACAATTTTGTCTCACCTACAACAGAGCCATAAAAACAAGTGTAAATGAAAAAATAAAGTCAAAATATGCTTTCAAATACAGTAACCATTTATTTGTTTAATTGTTTAATAAGCTGTAGTCTTTACAGTAAGTTTTAAAAAGTATTGTAGTATAAAGTATCTAAAATTGGGTTACAGTTTTAAAAATGCATTATCATGAAGAATAATTAAAGCATAAATCGATTTTCTATATCCATTAGTTGCCAATTACTGTGACTGGGCACCAGATTTTGGTAGGTGTTTCTTTAGGCGAGACACTGCTTTTCCTTTGCTTTCATTAGAATATGACGACGATGCTACATTTGTTGCCACCATTTCCTTTTCAGACTCTTTCCGTTTCTTTGCACGATAAGCTTTCATATATAAACGATTTGCATTTTTCTTTTTTTGAATCTCAACATCGGACATCTGGGTTTTTTGCTTTTGTCTTTCTGCACGTTTTCTTCTTCTGTCATGCTCTTTGTATTCATTATAAGCTAGCTGGTTGGTTTGAATTCTTTCTCTGTGTGCTCTAGACCGTTCTGTACTGGTCTTGGGAGACATTTTTGTGTACATGCACCTCAAAGCATGTACACAATGTAACTAGTTCAGACATCTGAATTCATGATACACTGTCACCTAACTATTGAAAATAAACTATCTATTAATTAGTTTGTTCAAATGCAAATTTGGTTTTTGTTAGAATTGCGTATTTGTATAAATAGCCTTTTTGTTATACAGGTATTGGTGTTATTTTCCCCAGCAACTCCCAAAAATTAAAATCTTAGTTTGTACATTTGCAAATTAAGACACTAACAAATCTAAAGGCTTTGTAGCATCAAATTATTGTAAAAAAACTCCTAAAAATATACAAATGATGTGTAATAATCAAATATTTACTTTTTCACTTGCCAAAATTTAAACTGAAATATTGTTTTGATAGTAAAGTGTAATGTCCGGGACATAATGTAATATCCGGGACAAAATTTTAATATGAAAATTATCATATATATATATGTATATATATATATATATATATATATTTTTAGATTTTGGTACATTTAGTATATATTAAATTAAAAGAGGAATTGAAATTTGAATAATTTTTTTGCACTATAACTATATAAAAACTTGTAAAAAAATGTACTAAAAATGTCCCGGACTTACATTTATGATATAAGACATGAATTATGAAATTAATATATGAAGGAATTTATTAAATACCCATTACAAATTACAAAGAGTACATCTAATAAACATATCCAACTCAAAATTTTTATGAAAAATTTTTTTTACAAAAAAATACAAGCAATATTCAAATGTAATGTCCGCAACATAAAATTTGCATTTTCCATATTTAACGTAAAATATTTTCCAAAACATCAATAATTTTTTTTTTTTGGTTTCATATAATTCAATTTATCTATTTTCTGAAAATGTCAAACATCATATATAAAACGCAATTTGAAAATTTTCAATGCATGTCGCAATTACTGTGGAATGCCCCATTGATAGATTGAATGATCAATTGATTACAATCGATCAAATTATTTACTGATTTATTAATTTGATCGATGGAAAAATTTATCAATGTACTGAAATATTGATCGTTTTGTCAATAGATTGTTCGATTGATTAATTGATTGATTGATTGATTGATTGATCTGTATTGCCAATGATTAACTTTTGATCATGACTCAATATAGTACGTACTGGTACACTCTGTTTCAGTTTCATTTGTCGGTTTCATTTGGTGTAAGCTTTGCTCGGATGAGAAACCCAATGTTAATGACGTGGACAGGGGCGGATCCATAGATGTCCAAAAGGGGGAAACCGAAAGTGGGGCCAATCGAGATAATACTACCCTAGGTGATCCGGGGGCGTGCCCCCGTGAAATTTATGTGTAGGAGAGTAGGGGTTTGTGACAACAAGATAAGCACTCTAGAAGAATCGTATAACACGTAATGAGACTGTTGGGTTGATTCAAACATCATATCTAAAATTTATTACATTACTGTCTGAAAATTTTCTGTACCTTTTTCATGGTAACTTGCAGTAGGCAAGTAGTGTAGTGTAGGCAGTGTCTGCTTGATATCAGTAACTAGAATTAAGAGGAATTTTAATCATAGTTATTAATCAAAAGTAATTGATATTTTTATCTTTTTTTTTCTTTTGTTTTACCTTCCAAAAGGGGGGTTGGCCTGCCCCCTAAATCCGCCCCTGATGGAGAGTAGGGGTTTGTAACAACAAAATAAGCACTTTAGAAGAATCGTATAACAAGTAATGAGACTGTTGGGTTCATTCAAACATCATATCTTAAATTTATTACATTACTGTCTGTAAATTTTCTGTACCTTTTTCATTGTAACTTGCAGTAGACAAGTAGTGTAGTGTAGGTAGCATCTCCTTGATATTAGTGACTAGAATTAAACGAATTTTAAACACAATTATTTATCAAAAGTAATTGACATTTTTATTATTTTTATTTGTTATTCAACTGGTTAACATTTATCAAGCATATAGATTACAATTGTAAGTTTTATAATGATGATGATGATGATAATGATAACAAGATGCTGATTTTGATGAGATGATAATGAAAATAAGGGCAAACGAACAATGGCATTGAATATGATGATAATGATTTTACCTGTGTTATTAACTGGGGGAATTGGAGAGCCTGCTGTAGATGGTGGGCCGACACAACATGTTGCAAAATTAGAAAATAAGTATTTGAGATATATTATAGGTTCACCGACCTTGCATCAAGAAATATTCCATATAATTTGAGAATTGATTAGCATAATCAGGTACGTAATATCCCATTTTCGAAATAACGAATCTTGTGCGCATTGGTTTTTTTTAATTTTATTTTTTATTTTTTTTTATTTTTATTCACATCCAACAGCAAGTACACTTGCCACTTACAGGATGAGAATGATGCTTTATAAACTAAATCTGTTTATGAGGCTTAGAGAGTGGAGTTGGTTTTGGTCGTGAGAGAAAGTCCTGCTGTGACAGGAATTGAACGCAGGACCCTGGGATCAGAAGGCAAGCATCTTATAACCACTGATATATTCAACTCCACTCCAAGTTACGTGGGCTATGGACTTATTATTAATATATTATTTTTGTACGAATACAAGAATAGTAATAATACAAAGAACTCGTCTAGAATCGTCCTAATCCTGCATTATAATGGCCTGTCGCTATGCTTAGATGGAGCGATGCACCTTGCACAACATCGCAAATTTAGTTAAGGTTGTCTACGTAACAAACGCGCACGAGATTCGTAATTTAAGAAATGGGATCCAATATTAATGTTCCTGATTATGCTAAATCAGTTCTCAAATTATATAAAATCCGAAAACTTCTCCTAAGTAAGATTCTAATCGTATAAAAAGTAATGAGACTGTTGGGTTCATTCAAACATCATATCTTAAATTTATTACATTACTGTCTGTAAATTTTCTGTACCTTTTTCATGGTAACTTGCAGTAGGCAAGTAGTGTAGTGTAGGCAGTGTCTGCTTGATATCAGTAACTAGAATTAAGAGGAATTTTAAACATAGTTATTAATCAAAAGTAATTGATATTTTTATCTTTTTTTTTTTTTTAACCTTCCAAAAGGGGGGTTGGCCTGCCCCCTAAATCCGCCCCTGATGGAGAGTAGGGGTTTGTAACAACAAGATAAGCACTTTAGAAGAATCGTATAAAAAGTAATAAGACTGTTTGGTTCATTCAAACATCATATCTTAAATTTATTACATTACTGTCTGTAAATTTTCTGTACCTTTTTCATGGTAACTTGCAGTAGGCAAGTAGTGTAGTGTAGGTAGCATCTCCTTGATATCAGTGACTAGAATTAAACGAATTTTAAACACAATTATTTATCAAAAGTAATTGACACTTTTATTATTTTTATTTGTTATTCAACTGGTTAACATTTATCAAGCATATAGATTACAATTGTAAGTTTTATGATGATGATGATGATGATGATAATGATAACAAGATGCTGATTTTGATGAGATGATAAAGAAAATAAGGGCAAACGGACAATGGCATTGAATATGATGATAATGATTTTACCTGTGTTATTAACTGGGGGAATTGGAGAGCCTGCTGTAGATGGTGGGCCGACACAACATGTTGCAAAATTAGAAAATAAGTATTTGAGATATATTATAGGTTCACCGACATTGCATCAAGAAATATTCCATATAATTTGAGAATTGATTAGCATAATCAGGTACGTAATATCCCATTTTCGAAATAACGAATCTTGTGCGCATTGGTTTTTTTTTATTTTATTTTTTATTTTTTTTAATTTTTATTCACATCCAACAGCAAGTACACTTGCCACTTACAGGATGAGAATGATGCTTTATAAACTAAATCTGTTTATGAGGCTTAGAGAGTGGAGTTGGTTTTGGTCGTGAGAGAAAGTCCTGCTGTGACAGGAATTGAACGCAGGACCTTGGGGTCAGAAGGCAAGCATCTTATAACCACCACTCCAAGTCACGTGGGCTATGGACTTATTATTAATATATTATTTTTGTACGAATACAAGGATAATAATAATACAAAGAACTCGTCTAGAATCGTCCTAATCCTGGATTATAATGGCCTGTCGCTATGCTTAGATGGAGCGATGCACCTTGCACAACATCGCAAATTTAGTTAAGGTTGTCTACGTAACAAACGCGCGCAAGATTCGTAATTTAAGAAATGGGATCCAATATTAATGTTCCTGATTATGCTAAATCAGTTCTTAAATTATATAAAATCCGAAAACTTCTCCTAAGTAAGATTCTAAAATCAAGATTCTAAACAAATTGTCCACATACTGTAGGCTGGGTTTTGTTTGTCATCGATGTAACGTATAGATTATCAAGATTAGCTATGTGTTGTGAGGGGGGTGGTGGTTGATTTTTATGATAAGCATCCATTGGTGCTACCCTCATAAAAGAAAGTTGAATAGATAAGTAAATAATAAGGCGCCAAGTTGCCATCTTGACGGCAGATGCGAGTTGTGATTCGGCGAGTAGAGAGTTCAATTCCTACTCTGACCAGTATTGGACTTTTCCGCTAAGCCCCACCTATTTTGGTAATCCTGCGTATGTGTGAGACATTATTGCTAAGGTCCCACAAAACGACAGTGTAAAAATATTGACGATAATTGAACAATGTGTATGAATGTATACTGTATACGTAATTGATATAAAATATATAGTTGCTGACTTACCAGCTGTTAATGCTTCTGGAGATTTGATTCTGTCGAATATCGTTTGTGCTGTGCCTGTTAAAATATAATATAGGCACTTTCAAAACATGTTTTAATAATGAAAGTTGTTACAGACCTATGGTCATCGCTGCCACTGGGTTGCGTGTTTAAAATACAATTCAAGAATCTCATTAATGGTTAAAAGTGGCGCTGTTACGAAATAATAATAATAATAATAATAATGATAATAATAATAGTAATAATGTAATTATAATGACAATAATAGGCCTAATAATAACAATAATTGATGATAATAGTACGGCTTAGGGCCATATTTGGACTGAATGTAAACGTTCCGGACAAACGCACCATTTTTTTACATGTTCCTTATGGTCATAGCATTCAATTTTAGGTAGGAGCCACCTCATTTGAGGTCATTATGATGGTCATCTTGGATTTAAAAATGTCCATCTTATAAAACCTCTGTTTATCTATATCTCTGCTTCTAAACACATTGGAATTATAATTCTAACTTCTAAAAATATGGAATACTATCACCATTTATTACCAGGTCAAATTGTCACAAATAGGTCATTTAGGATCATTCAAGGTTATTTCCGGTCATATATTGTATATCTTTATTTTAAAATACAATTACTGTACATCAAAATCGAATAAGAGAGACATTGTAACAGAATAAAGTATATTGTAATTTTTCATTATGGTTGGGTAGGGGTGTAGGTGGGGATTTGATTTTAATTGAAAGCTAATATTTTGCTAAAAATATAAAAAGCAATCATTTTTGAATTGTTTTTTTTTTTCAAATTTATTCGTCTAGTATAGAGTACCACAGTCATGTCGTCAACACCAGGTGGCGCCCTCCGTTGCCAACCAGACGTTGGTTACTGTTAATTACGTCTGAAGGACTTCATAGGCTTTCTGGAATAGGCATTTTAAAATCTAATATTTTACCATAAAAATGTACTAAAAACACAAAAGCTCACATTATATTAGTTATCAAACACAATTAATCATCAATTAAAATTTACAAAGAAAAACTAAGATACAAAATCTTAATAATTACGTTAGAAATTGGGATCAATGGTTGTCAGTGGAGAAAATGGCATCCGGTTGAACGCATTTTGCAACCATAGCAACGAAGTAGTATCACGTGGTATCATAACGTAACACTGTAGTACTCTATAATTACTGTACTTATTTTTACAAAGGGTATCATGAATGGATGTATGATAGATTGAATGATCAATTGATTACAATCGATCAAATTATTTACTGATTTATTAATTTGATCGATGGAAAAATGTATAAATGTACTGAAATATTGATCGTTTTGTCAATAGATTGTTCGATTGATTAATAGATTGATTGATTGATCTGTATTGCCAATGATTAACTTTTGATCATGACTCAATAAAGTACGTACTGGTACACTCTGTTTCAGTTTCATTTGTCGGTTTCATTTGGTGTAAGCTTTGCTCGGATGAGAAACCCAATGTTAATGACGTGGACAGGGGCGGATCCATAGATGTCCAAAAGGGGGAACCGAAAGTGGGGCCAATCGAGATAATACTACCCTAGGTGATCCGGGGGCGTGCCCCCGTGAAATTTTTGTGTAGGAGAGTAGGGGTTTGTGACAACAAGATAAGCACTCTAGAAGAATCGTATAACACGTACGGTAATGAGCCTGTTGGGTTGATTCAAACATCATATCGAAAATTTATTACATTACTGTCTGTAAATTTTCTGTACCTTTATCATCATAACTTGCAGTAGGCAAGTAGTGTAGTGTAGGCAGTGTCTGCTTGATATCAGTAACTAGAATTAAGAGGAATTTTAAACATAGTTATTAATCAAAAATAATTGATATTTTTATCTTTTTTTTTCTTTTGTTTTACCTTCCAAAAGGGGGGTTGGCCTGCCCCCTATATCCGCCCCTGATGGAGAGTAGGGGTTTGTAACAACAAGATAAGCACTTTAGAAGAATCGTATAAAAAGTAATGAGACTGTTGGGTTCATTCAAACATCATATCTTAAATTTATTACATTACTGTCTGTAAATTTTCTGTACCTTTTTCATTGTAACTTGCAGTAGACAAGTAGTGTAGTGTAGGTAGCATCTCCTTGATATTAGTGACTAGAATTAAACGAATTTTAAACACAATTATTTATCAAAAGTAATTGACATTTTTATTATTTTTATTTGTTATTCAACTGGTTAACATTTATCAAGCATATAGATTACAATTGTAAGTTTTATTATGATGATGATAATGATAACAAGATGCTGATTTTGATGAGATGATAATGAAAATAAGGGCAAACGGACAATGGCATTGAATATGATGATAATGATTTTACCTGTGTTATTAACTGGGGGAATTGGAGAGCCTGCTGTAGATGGTGGGCCGACACAACATGTTGCAAAATTAGAAAATAAGTATTTGAGATATATTATAGGTTTACCGACCTTGCATCAAGAAATATTCCATATAATTTGAGAATTGATTAGCATAATCAGGTACGTAATATCCCATTTTCGAAATAACGAATCTTGTGCGCATTGGTTTTTTGTTTTTTTATTTTTTTTTAATTTTTTATTCACATCCAACAGCAAGTACACTTGCCACTCACAGGATGAGAATGATGCTTTATAAACTAAGTCTGTTTATGAGGGGATTTGATTTTAATTGAAAGCTAATATGCCACTCACAGGATGAGAATGATGCTTTATAAACTAAGTCTGTTTATGAGGCTTAGAGAGTGGAGTTGGTTTTGGTCGTGAGAGAAAGTCCTGCTGTGACAGGAATTGAACGCAGGACCCTGGGGTCAGAGGGCAAGCATCTTATAACCACTGATATATTCAACTCCACTCCAAGTCACGTGGGCTATGGACTTATTATTAATATATTATTTTTGTACGAATACAAGGATAGTAATAATACAAAGAACTCGTCTAGAATCGTCCTAATCCTGCATTATAATGGCCTGTCGCTATGCTTAGATGGAGCGATGCACCTTGCACAACATCGCAAATTTAGTTAAGGTTGTCTACGTAACAAACGCGCACGAGATTCGTAATTTAAGAAATGGGATCCAATATTAATGT